CAGGTGTCAATTTGTCAAAAACTAGGTCCAACCAGGTCAAAGAGAGTTGAACCTGGTGTTGACGAGTTTTGAGTCGGTAGCAAGTTTTAGCTTTAGTTTTTTTTCATTTCACTTTTTCCTTTTGTTTGAGAAGGACAATTGAACCCAAATCCATGGGTATGAGACCTAACTTGACCAGATCAATGCGAGTTAAAACTACTCAAACCTTCAATCAGTCCAAAAAACTCATAAGGGAGAACCATGATTACCTCAAACCCAAAAAGAAAGAAAGCCAAAAGAGTACGACTATGTTTGGCCTGAATATTAGAAGTTTAATGTTTCAAAAGTTGAAGCCTCGCTTTTAAAAAAATTGAAGTTTTTCGTAACTTAAAAGTAAAAGTTCCGATTTGAAAATACAAAATTATTCTTACCATATATTATTCTTTTTCTAGTTTACATAATTTTCTTTCATTTATATTATTATATAAAAATTAATTGAAAAATAGTATTATTTAATATGAAATAAAGCTAACGTGATCTATTTTAAATACCTTTTTATTTTTGAATTTGTATTCATATTTTATGCTAGAAATATCTTTTAGTCGTTTTTCATTACCTCTTATATTAGAAAGTAATTCTGATAGTTTTTCAGCTAAACACTCAACAGTTTTTTTTAAATACTTCTTGAAAAGATACAGAGAAGCTACTTTATTATGCAAAAGTTAGAGCAGGATCAACTACTAGCCATACAAACTGAAACATTAGCGTCATGAAAGAAGTTTAAACATAAATCATCTATTCGACGACCCTTCCACCTTATGCAAGTTCATCGACCATATGCTATTATAATAACAAACCTATAAAAAAGAATGATTAAGTATGAAATAAGATTACTTTCACTTTTGGGTCAACATTTAAACTCTTACTCTTAAAATATTTATTCTTCTTATACGCGACCCTTCCACCTTATGCAAGTTCATCGACCATATGCTATTATAATAACAAACCTATAAAAAGAATGATTAAGTATGAAATAAGATTACTTTCATTTTTGGGTCAACATTTAAACTCTTACTCTTAAAATATTTATTCTTCTTATACGCGAAGCGATAGCGAGCAGATTTTTGCTAGTAGTTATGAAACGAAAGGAATTAAACTTTTTCAGCAATAAAACAATATTGGGGAAACATTACAGAAAGAGAAAACATCTTTAACTGCAAAAACAATATAAGCATCGGTACTTAGAAAACACCAGCAGTTTTGAGAAAAAGGATGATAAATGACCAAGCAAAGAAGAGATTGTTGGAAACTAGTTCATAAATCTTACATTTTCAGCAAGCACATCGTGGCAGTACATAAGAACCATAAACACCATGCTATGTTCCATTGGATTCTAATATCTAACTAAACAGCTACATTACCTTATAAATTAGCTGGATTGGTATGGAAAAAGGGAAGATGGAATGTCTGGTTATCAGCGTGGAAGGATAGGGATCCATGTGCTGACTAAAGGTTAGGAAGTATAGGAACTAGTAGCGACTAGCGAGTAAATGTAAGCAGTGCAGTAGAATAGCAAATGCAACTTAAATAGGGATAGAGTCAAGATTTGAAGTTAGGTGGTTATCGATATTGTTTTTGAGTGAAAGTGAAATTACCTAAAAATAAAATCACCTGAAATTTTTGTTAAAAAATAAAATCAACTGAATAAATTTTGTTATCAGATTAATTTTCATATAGTTATCATTATTTTTTTACGGTATTAATTTTCTATTCAAATGCGGATCAGTACTCTACTATAACCTAGATTCGCCGGGACTACAATCACAAAGTAATTTGTTTAGTTAATTTTTAATTATTCTGCGCAGGTTGTGGATTGACATCGGATTTATGCGCTTGAAGATGAGCTTAATAAATAATGGGCTGCAGAAGAAATTTACTGGCGTAAAAAAACACAGGTTCACTGGTTGAGGGAAGGGGATAAAAATTCTTCATATTTTCACACTGTCACAAGAACCCGACACCGAAAAATGAGATTTCTGGGATACGAGACGCGACTGGAAATTGGGTAACGGGTGAGGCGGAAAAAGGAGTGGTGGACTGTGATTTTTATGGGGCTTTGTTTCAAACAGAAAATGAGATATTAGATATGGATGCAAGGATTGGGACACTACCGTTGGAGATCGTGGTCACTGCATAACTGAATGTTGAATTAATTGCAGTAGTCCTACCATAAGAGATTAAGAGAGTGGGGTGAGTCAATGAAGCAAATTTGACTGATTAATTTGTGCCAACTGTTCTATAAGATTATTTCTAAGATTCTAGCAGAAAATGGAGAATTGTCTGCCCAAATTGATCTCACCTGAGCATAACGGATTTGTCCGAGATAGGCAAATAGTTGATAACATTCTTATTGGTCATGAGATTATGCATTACCTCAAATCAAGAAATACAAAACTGATAAATCTACAATTTGATAAGTTACAAACCCTAAATTCATCCCTATCCAAAATCCTAACCCCAAATCCGCAATTGAAGAATGTAATCGAGACCAAACCATCCGGATCTTCAGAACAAGGAAGAGGAGTGAAAGCTGAACCTTAAGAGCTAGCGAGAAGAAGGGTCCGGGAATGCAAGATGACAAGGTGCCGGAGAAGGGGTGCTGACGGCAACGCATGTGCCTAAGGAAAAGAGCGTCTCACTAAGCTTTGTATGAGTTAAAAAGGCAGGGGATGGTTCGGTTATGCGAGGAGGAAGTGGTGGGAACTTGGAATGAGATGTGTGTGGGTTAATGGCTGATTGAGCAGCATATAGGAGAAGGTAGAAAAGGAGGAATAAGTGATTGGCCTAGTGTCGAGTGAGTGTCCACAGAGTGGTTGAGGGAGGGAAAGGCAGGGCCGGCAACGGGGAAGGGGGAGGAGCGACCATTGCAAGGGGAGGGTTATCGGGGAAGAGAGGAAGGCGAAGCTTTTTGAAGGATTTTGGGGCTTTTTTTAATGGGAGTCGAGAGTCTGGTTTTAGCTTTCTCGTACTTCGGGTTTTCTTGGTAAAGCAAATAGAGGGAGAGCCAAAAAATTTAATTGTGGAGCCATTTTCCTGGAGCCAAAATTTGTGGATAGCGGGAGAGCCAAAATTTTTGGATTGTAGAGCGGGAAAAAATTGCGGGACAGCCAAATGGTAAACCTTGAGTCAGCTGTGAGAATTTTTGAAGTCCTAATCTTTTAGTTGTCTCATGAGAACAAATTTTATTGATTTTAAAACTTTGTTTTTAAATAATTAGTAAGTCGAAGATTAAGTTATGTGACATAAAATAAAATTTATTAATTTTCGCCTGAAATTTGCAAACTGTTCGGGGTAATTAACTAGTCACGGGAAATGAAGACTAAAAAACATCAAATTAGTTCCCGTGATTAGAACTATACAATCAAATACGGGAATTTTTCCAGTGATTGTTATTATACTTCTTAGTACGGGAAAATTTACCGTGAATAAGATCCGGTGACTAGAAACTAGTTTTCTTGTAGTGAAGCAAGGGAAGAAAGGTTATATGGCTTTGAAGGTTGACATGAAAAAAGCCTATGATATAGTGGAATGTACATTTTTACTTGCGGTTATGAGAAAAATGGGGTTTCTTACTCAATGGATTCACTGGATTAAGGAATGTCTGTCTTCGGTGACTTTTTCAATATTTATGAATGGGAATCCTAGTGGGTATTTTAGGTCCTCGCATGGATTGAGGCAGGGTGATCCGTTGTCGTCATTATTGTTTGTGATATATACGAAAGGCTTTTCAGCTTTGTTAAAACAAGCAGTGGCGGAAAAGAAATTAACTGGTGTTAAGGTGAAATTGCGGTGTCCGAGTGTGTCTCACTTGTTTTTGTTCGGGTGGTGTGGTTGGTTTAGATTTTAGGTCATGGTTTTTGTTTGGGTTGTAAATAGTGGTATCTATATTTCTTGATAATTCAAGTGAGCTTTTGGGTGGAAAAAAACTAATGTATATTTTTTTTCCAAATATTTTTCAGATTTTTTATATTATCCAAACTTATTAAAATGTTATTAATTAGCTAAAAATTTCGTAATGCATCAAAATATTAGTCATTTTTACGTTATCGTTAATAACTTTGTAACTTTTTCTTAGTTAAAATACTAAAATTTTGGAATGTTAGACATTCATGTGTCTCTTCCAAATCATTATCATGTTGCCTAGTCAATATTACTAACAAAATTGCTAACTAAAAGTTAACATTTGACTAATTCTGACTTCTGAATACTTCGATAGGCTTGAATAATAAAAAAGAATTCGAAAAAGTTTGTCTAATAAATAGTCATTAAAGAATACTCTTTCATATATTTATTTATTTCTCGATGGAATACAAACAAAAAGTCATCTTTTGGGGAAAATTTTGCGGATAGTCAGGACTAGGGCTGTTAATGAGCCGAGTCGAGTCGAGCTTTGCCTTGTTCATTCAAGTTGAACACGAGCCAGCTCATTTATTAAATTTTGACACATCATTAAGATCGAAAGTTCGGCTCGAGCTCAACTCTAAGATAATTTATAATATAAACCCCTAATATTTATATGTCATATGTGATACAAGTGATTACCTAATGGTATGTTATATATGAGACGTATTTGCTTACATATACTCAATGTATTAAACACCATATGAGGTGATATATACAATTTAATAATTATATGCATCATTAACAAACTAACTCATAAAATATAGATTGATTTTCTCATAAGCTGTAGTCGAGTTGGCTCTATAGTCACAATGTTGGGACATCTCATAAGCTCAAAACGAGACAGTTCATGAGTTGTATTAAACGAGCCACCTAATCGAGCTAGTTCACGAGCTTCACGAACCAAACAAAGTAGAGCTCAAGCTCGACTCGTTTATTAACGAGCCGACTTTTTTTTTAATTGAACGAGCTTTTATCGAGTTCGAAATCGAGCCACTCACGAATAGCTCGGCTCATTAAACTAACTGAAAAAGGTGTGATAGCTTAAAATAGATCGCCGCCGGCCACGCGAGACAGGGCGTGCCTTCCCGGCCGGACAGAATAATCCCAAAGCCAAATGGTTTGGCGAAGCCCTAGTTGACGACCGATTATTTCTTGATGGGATCGTAAAGAAGGCGGGCAAAAGAAAATCCCTTTCTCACTCGGGCTCAGTTATGGTGGCCGATCAAAAAGGAGTACTGGGAATTGCAGTTCCAGGAGTGGAGAAACACCAATATCAGGCATCGGCAAAACCAACCGGTCTTAATTATTATGGCCTCTGCACCTTCGCCGGAATATTCAGTGCCGGCACTACCCATCTAGCTATCACGCCTCTCGATGTCATCAAAGTCAACATGCAGGTCCTTTCCTCTCTTTCAGCCATCTCTTCCCCTTTTTCATTGGGGACTTTCCTCGAACACCTGGGCTACATTTCTATTCTCCTCATTGCACCCTCAATTTTCGTTGATCCTTCGAACCCTTTTACGGAAATGACGAAGCATCAATGTCATGCATGAAGATTTGACTGAAAAAAACCCTCATTTACAGCTGAATCCTATCAAATACCACACGATCTCCACTTGCTTCGCCACTCTACTGAAGGAGCAAGGGCCATCCACGTTTTGGCGAGGCTGGGCAAGCAAGTTCTTCGGCTACGGCCTCCAAGGTGGCTGCAGATTCGGGTTATACGAATACTTCAAAACCCTCTACTCAAATGTCATCCCTTCTGACTACCAGCGCAACCGTAGCATCATATTCTTCACCAGTAGCGCCACGGCCGAAGTCTTCGCCAACCTCTGCCTCTGCCCTTTCGAAGCCATCAAGGTTAAAGTTCAAGCACAGCCACATTTCGCCAAGGGACTGCTCGACGGCTTCCCAAAGCTATATGCATCCGACGGCCTCCTTGGGTACACTACTACTCTCAAGTCACCATTCCTCTCCACAATCCGCACTCTTCCTTTTCTAACTTGTGCGTTTTCTTATTATTATGGTCACAGTTTCTACAGAGGTCTTGTCCCACTCATGGGTCGAAACATTCCATGTAATGTTGCACTCAACCTGAAATCTTTTACCTCCTTTTTATCCAGCTGAATATCACTTTACAAATTCTCTTTACATTTGCAGTCTCGATGGTGATGTTCTCGACGTTTGAGCACACGGTGGATTTCCTATACCGCAAAGTGGTGAAAGCGAGGAAGGAGGAATGCACGAAATGGCGCCAGCTAGGGATCACATGTGTGGCTGGATATGCAGCTGGCTCTGTCGGCAGCGTAATAACTAACCCCGCCGACAACCTTGTTACTCATCTTTACAACAGGAAGGGGGATGGGCTTATCACGGTACGTGTATGGACGTAGTGTGATATGCTGGCTAAGTTTTGGTTATGGCGATGGGTAGGGGATCACGTAATTAAGGTGATGCTCCCAACGGTACAGGCATTGCCCATATGGTGGTGGTGGTTAGCTGTTTTCCCCTTCCTTACTTTGCTGGTCTGTTTTGGATCGTTGTCCCTCTTTTTTTTTGGGGTTCACATGGGTCTCGTTGTTTTTTTTTTGCAGGCTGTGAAAAAGATTGGTTGTCTCAACTTGTTTACGAGGAGCCTTCCCATCAGGGTAATCCTCGTTGGACCTGCCGTGACCCTGCAGTGGCTGCTCTTTGACAGCGTTAAAGTTTTCAGTGGCTTGTAAGTTGCAGTGTTGCTTGCTTGACATTAATCGTGCAGTCCGAGTTCTGAATTCGTTCGGGTGGGTAGGAACTTACGCTGTTTCGCGTGAATGATCGTCCAGGCCAAGCAGCGGAGAAGTCAGGACTGACGTTGGATAGCACGAGCAGGGTATCGGACAACGAATGCAGGATCGCAGGCCGAGGAATTACAGCTTAACAGCGCTCTGGTATCAGAGTTTCAGCACAGGGTTACTGATTTTTGTTCCTTCTGTATACTGGGGAGAGGATCAAATCAATGCCGAGGCTTTAAAATAAAAGTTCACTGAGTGAACAAATTATTACATCTGGGAAACCATTTGTTAACTTCTCCATTGCAGTCTGTAATGACAAATATTATGAACAAGCAAATTAATGCAACTGTTCTAACTGTTAAAGTACACCACATCTTATTCCCAGTATGATGCAAGAATGAAGATAAACAAACAGGATAATACAATTGCTGGAAGAAGGAATAAAAGACAAACGTATAGCAGCAACCAACAGAGGAGATGCTGCTCAAATTCTACACTTCCGGAGGGGGTTCTGCAATTGCCAATGCTGTTGAGATTGAGATTTGCCCACCGACCTGCAGCTGCACCTTGCTCGACCAGCTCTCTCGTTCTTCTGTAGCGCAGCACGAGCTTTTACTAGCTCATTTGCAGCAGCCATCATCTCAGAACCTTTGCAGGCCAGAGACACTATGTCAGCTGTAACTCGCCTTTCGTGATCCAGTGCTGCTCTCTGCCTGTGAAATCTACAACTCCAGTCACATCAGACTAGGCTTTAACATAGTCCATGCCGTCGCGCTTCCTTTTGTTAGACTCCGAGAAGCAGCACATCTGAGCCCAACTCTTCCTCTGTTTGACTGCAGGCTGTGCCTTGACGTCCCTTTTCTCTACCATTTCCGACATGAACTGCACAACTGCCTAAACACAGAAGTTCACCCAACAGGTTTAGTTGCAGTTACTAGGATTCTATTCATTTACACGGATGAGTACAGTGAGAGAAAGAGAGCTATAATAATTTACCTGAGCACCTTTGTCTGCAACATGCCTAGGCGGCAACTCAAGGGGATTCTCTTCCACCCTCAGAACCCTCAGCTTAGCAAGCAACCTAAACGAGTCCGGAAGAAACCGTATCTGATTATTGCTTATATCCAACTCTTCCAGATTCGCAAGATTGCCAATTGACCTCGGCAGGTACTTGAGGTCAGCAAAATTGTTCCCCACATTCATCTTCACAAGGGACGTGGCGAAACACAAGCTCTCGGGCACTGCCTCGAGCTCGTTGAAGCTAACATCGAGCTCCTTCAAATTCTCCAGGGACGACATGGTCGTGGGGAGCTGCCTGACATTGTTGTATCTCACAGACAAAACCTCCAGCGTGCCTATCTTCCCCACAGCTTCAGGGAGTGCTTTCAGCCGGTTGTAGTCTGCACGAAGCTCCTTGAGCGAAGTACAGTGGCCGATCGTGTGTGGGATTTCTTCGACCTCGTTCGTCTCGATGCTTAGTTTCTTGAGGCTAGCGAGTGATCCTATTGAGTCTGGAAGGGTGGAAATATAGTTGGAGGTAAGATCCAGCTCCTCGAGACGTACTAATCTTCCGATAGTGGAAGGAAGTGCGGATAATTGGTTAGCTCGGAGGTCCAGGAACACCAAACTCAGTAGATCTCCAATGGAGTCAGGTAGTTGAGCGATTCTATTGGAATGGAGATCCAATCTCGTCAAGGAAGAGAGACCGCCAATGGAAGGTGGCAGGGCGAGAATCCTGTTCTCTGACAAATCTAGGGTTACCAAACCCGATAACTTGCCAATTGAATCTGGCAGCCATTCAATTTGTTCCATCAGCCGGCTACGGAGGTTGAGCTCCGTCGCGCCTCTCTTCGCCGAGACCTCGATTACGCTGGCGAGCTTAATCAGACTCAATTTGTCACCGCCATCTTGACCTACAAACGGCAAAACCGAATTTGCAGATTAAAATCCAAACCGCGCGAGTAATAGTCCAATTGATAAACAAAGAAATTGGTGGTGTTTGCGAATTGAGATGCTCACCTGAAGCGGTAATTGTGGATCTCAGGGTAGGATCCAAAACGGTCGGTTCACGAACACCAATTCCGGCAGCGGCTGCAGGTCCTTCGGAGTAGAACATTGGCTTTGTCTTTCTCACGTAGCTGTCATCTCTGGTAACCAAATCCGCCGCAGATGCTGCTGCCGCCGTTGCCGGCCGTTTCTCCGAGAAGTACAAGACGGACGTAGTTGTCCGGGCGGAGGAGGAAGAAGAAGAAGCGGAAGCAGGCTTCGACGAACTGCTTCCGTTAGCAACGGCAGCGGCGGCAGAGGATGGGGCATTAGTGCGATATGGAGCGGAAGAGGAAGAAGGGAGACACATGGATGCTCTCTGGATCAAATCGTCGAACAGAGAGTGGAGGCCTTCGAGTTCCAACAACCTCAAGGCGTCACGCTTCTGGTCCTTGCTCCGGAAACCGACGGAGGTCTTCTGCATCTCGACGAGAATGGAGAAGAGCTCTTCAGGGACATCGGAGCTCTTCCCCTGCCTGGAGATTGCATCCAGCCTGGCCTGGTCTTCTTTGTCGACGTTCTGGATCAGGTCCTTGGCCGCCTCCACCTCGTCGATTGAAGGCCTAGGCGGCAAGGATCTGTGAATTCTCATTATCTCGGCCACCACTTCGTCCACGGACTGAACCTGCGGCGTGTCCATTTTGCAGCGGCAGCGGAGGGGAGATTTAACGGCTTTCCGATTCAATTACACCGGCGCCGGCGGAGGAAGGGGAGAAACTGCAAATTGTGGGAGCTATTTTGTTTCCCTCTATTTGGGGATGATATTGATGGCTACTGCAAGCAAAGCAGGCAACGGAAATAAATGAGAGGGAGCGAGGTAAAGGAAGTGAGCAAAGCGTTTGGGTTTTGAAATGGGAGGAGAGGGGAGCTTCTTTGAGTTTCTAGAACTGGATATGGGCAGAAGTATTTTAAATAATTAAATAGAAAAAGGCCGTAATAATTCCTCAAAATAATTGTTTTGAGTTTTGACAGTTTATTTATTTATTTGATTTTTTAGAAGGGGTACGTATTTATTCTGTCAACTGCTGTCGACCGGAGGGAAATATGGAAGCGACAGTTGTAAATGCAGCGGAAATTATAAATCATTTTTAAAATACAAAAAAAAAAAAAACGAATCTATTTTCTGAAATTCGGAGTGGGAAATTTTTGTGCAAGAACAGAATTTCGTAGTTAGCAATGGCGGGAGTACAGCGAAACTAGGTAAAGCTGCGCCGGCATGACTGCATCAACAAAGATCGTCAGGCTGTCGTCCGACTGTTTTCTACTGTCATTTTTGTATGGATATGCACGAGGTTTAGAGATAGAAGATGCAGCCATATCCAATCCTCGATAGGAGGGAGGACAATCTCAGTTCATTTTGATTAGTATTAGTTGAATTTGATTAGGGGAAAAAAATAAGAGGAAAAAAAAGAGAGTTATGAACTTATGATGGCACATTGAAAATCGGAAACAAATTAAATCCAATCAAATCTAGGCGGTAATAACTAGTGAGTATGGTAATTAGTATTGAAATCTACCGACGTTAATAGGGAATGACAAAATTAGGAGTAACGTTTGGCACATCGCGGAGTAAAATTAGGGAAATTTATCATAACAGGCGGTAATAACTAACGAGTATGGCAATTAGTATCGAAATCTACCGGCGCGCTAATTGGGAATGGCAAAATAGGAGTAACTTTTGACACATCTAAGCAAAGTCATGCGAGTTATAGATACGCTGGTAAAAGTCGAAGACGTTGGGTTAGCTAGTGGTTTTGGTACCGCCCATAGAGAGCATATATGTAATCCACTGCTGCTGCTTGCTTCCTGCTAGCTTCTTCCTTGATGTACAAGATCGGTCTAAATAATTTAACATCAATTGGGGGATTCATTACACCTTTAATCCTTTATATCTATTTTTATATAATAAAATAGCTTTTTTGCCACTCACACTCTCTTTTGGTACAAATTTGGGAAGAGAGTGAGATCGGAAAGATGATCGATTGATGATGATGATGATGATGGGGAAATTAATTAAAAGGGAGGGATGCGAGTGGGAACAAAAGGCGTGAAGTGGAAAGCGACGGATGATGAAGTAATGGACATGGAGATGGAGGTTGGTTATAATAAGCTTTTCATGGAGCAAAGGCGCGATTGCAACGGCCCTGCCTGATGGTGAAAATAGTTTACTGCTAACTTCTCCAATTGGGATTTGTTCTGATTGTTGCGTATTAACTATTAAGGTGAAAGGGAGGGAGAGGTGACGCTGCGACGGGCCCGGATATTATGGGCTTGCAGCCCAGATGATGGGCCAAGAGTGGTCATAACTGGCCTGCGTTGGCTCGAGACCATGCAGGGTAAGAAGCACTGACGTGGCTGTTGGGCTTATTTGGCTGGGTTTTCAGTTGGTTGTGTTCATTAGTGCAGCTGTTCTGCAGCTGAGTCGGCAACAGCATAGTGCTTGTTCATTAGTTGCTGAAATTAAGGGATATGGATAGAGTAGTGGTCGAGATTTATGCTTTCTAGTTGGCTAGAGTTGAGTATATATATATATATATATATATATATGTTAGGAGTGTTCAAATGGTTATCTTGGCAATAACCAAATCAATTAAGTCTAAATTTCATTAATCATGGAATCAATTGTCTTAACCAAACCGTCCAAATTAACATTAAACCAAATTAACCAAACCAAAGTTTAATTGGTTTAGTTAATCGGATTAACCAAACAACATAACATTACATGAAAACATTATCCTGTTAATGAAGAAAACATAACCATACGTTATTACTATCATAAACTATCATTATATATAAGCAATGATAATAACACTACAACAAATTCGGCCTATTGTGACGGTAGGTTTTTGTCATATTAGGACTATGTTTTGTCAGATTAAGTATGTTATGACAAATGTTGTTGTCACAACGTGTTGTCATTTAATCTCCGTCAAGATAGGTAAAATGTGACAAAATTTTAAAATATATTTGTCACATTTGCCTTATGATTTTGTGACATATTCCTGTGTCATATAAATGGTAAAAAAGTGACGAATAGTTTTGTCACCATAAGGGTGTGGTTTGTCACATTTGGAGTTTGGTTTGTCAGTTTAGCTTACGTTCTAGTTAATCTATTGTGACGAACGAAGATTTTATTTTATGATGAAATGTTTTGTCATTAATTTTTTCATAATTTTTCGATTTATTCAGAATTGTTATTCATGTTACAAGATTATATTTTGTTATAAATGCTATTATGATGATTTCAGATTGTCGGGGAAGTTGTTGTATGTGCCTCTTGTCAAGTAATGTACAATAATGTGACGTATTGACTTCGTCACCGGCGGAACCAGAGGCTACTGGCGACGACTCCCTTGCTTCCCTCCTCGTTTGAAACCAAAACAAAAACAACAAACTAAAGTCAAAACTCAAA